AACAGTTTGTCACAGCCCCTCGTTTGTTGTCCTCTTCTCTCTCTCTGCCTACGGTTTACCGGGCAGTTCTGTTTGTGACGAGATATATATATATAGAGTCGGTGAAACTCCGACGAAACAGTTTGTCACAGCCCCTCGTTTGTTGTCCTCTTATCCCTCTCTGCCTACGGTTTACCGGGCAGTTCTATTTGACGATATATATATATATATCGTCAAACAGAGCTGGCCTGTAAACCGTAGGCAGAGAGGGAGAAGAGGACAGCAAACGAGGGGCTGTGACAAACTGTTTCGTCGGAGTTTCACCGACTCAATATCCCTCTCTGCCTACTGTTTACCGGGCAGCTCTGTATATACATATCTGCTATGCGTTGTTGTATCCGTCTCAAAAAAAAAAAAAAAAAAACCTTGAAGAAGAGCATCATCACGCGCATGCTTTCTGTTGCGATTCGCGAGTTTAAGTAAAACCAGACATTCGTTAAACCTTCCATTAACCCTTCCGTTAACCCTTCGGTTAACCCTTCCGTTAACCCTTCCGTTAAACCTTCAACGAACTTTCTATTGTGTTCGCCTTTTGTGACCAATCCAGGGACAGCGACTCGCATTCGAATGGCAGACGACCTTTCCGTTAACCGAGAAAACGGACCTCGACGGATTCCGTTAAGCATCATCGCGGGCCCAACAACTTGTCAGCCTTACCAGTAATTGTTCCACTGAGGAGAGCTTTCCAGGGATTTGGAAAGGGATAACGACCACCCACTGTTCGATTGTACCCAGCTCAATCACCCGTGCGAGATTACCCGTGCGAGATTACCCGTGCGAGATTACCCGTGCAAGAGTACCCGTGCGAGATTACCCGCCATCTACTTTCATCTACAACTCCCCGAGTGACGGTGCAGCAGCTGGGCCGAGAAGAGGAGAGAGAAGAGGAGAAGAGGAGGTTCGTGGAACGACGGAGGAGAGAGAAGAGGGGTAAGTTAATACCTGGACCGAGAAGAGGAGAGAGAAGGAGAGGTTCGCGGAACGAGAGGAAGAAGGGTTTTTTTTTGGGGGGGGGGGGGGGGGGGGGGGAGGGAGGAAGAGGAGAGGAAGAGCGACGGAGGAGAGAGAAGAGGGGTGAAAGGGATGTGCAAGAGGCCAGGGGTACACCTTTTAATTCCTTTGCTAATCATGATCTGGTGTACCCCTGGGATGACAGCTGTGTGATCAGCGGATCGAGGACGATGGGCGATGGGAAGGGTATTAATTACTGAAGGATTGATGAGAGAGTATAATCTTAACCTGATCGGTCTCTTCAATCGGTTTCGTTGATTGATTTGATTGCTATATGTTGCCGATCGATCAAATCAAATGGTTAATTAGCTTTTGCCGACTCTTAAATTAATGGTTGATTGATTACCCTCTTGCACTGATTGATTTATTGAATTGATCGATTGCTTGAGTGATTTCGTGGTCGATTTCAGAACCGATCATTCGATGATTGTTCGATGATTGTTCGATGATTGTTCGATGATTGTTCGATGATTGTTCGCTTGGTGGACTTGACTTGAGGGGCGACTCCACCAATCAAACAATCATCCAATTCATTGCTCAGTTGGGTAATTGATTGCTTGGATCGATCAACCGATTCATCGATTGATTGATTGATTGATTGAGTGAGTGATTGATTGATTGATTGATTGATCTCCGTTCGCTTAGCGAGCAAGAAAGAGGGTTCAAGATAAGTCCATCATCACATCCAGCGTTTCAAGAAAGAAAGAAAGAAAGAGGTTTTCTTGAAGGTCGTGCAAGCTGAATCAAACGCCAAGGCGCATGCGTATGCGCATGCATCTGCAGGTCGTGCAAGTCGTCGTGACGCTGTCGCATGCCCACGTGCATGACCACGTGCGTCGTCGACTTATTGAGTGGTAATCGGAGACTAATTAACGGATTTTTCACCTGCTCGATTGTTTCGTTGCTTCTTCTTACGTTCGATTACTCTCTCTTGCGTTCGATTACTCTCTCTTGCGTTTTCTCTTGCGTTCGCTTCTGAAGACGTGAGGAAAAAAAAAACAAAAAAAACCAAAGGCTATAGAGGGCATTCCGATCCCGACCTTCCCTTCATTTGACTCTTGTCGCGATTGCGATCAGGATCAGTCGTGTTCTGCCTGGGGCGTGATGATACTTGCCTGCATTCTTAGATGCCCTTCCCCCCCCTAGTTTTTTTTACCCCCCCCTCTTATTTTTCTGGAAGCCCCCTTATTTTGTACAATCCCCTCCTTTCCCCCTCCGTCTCGGTCATCCTATCGAAGGAGAGATTTTGGAACGAGTGTACACCGTGTATTTATTTATATGTACAGCGTCTGATATATAGTATGCGATTTATTTTGTCGATTAAAAAACTTGGATTGGATCTTTAAACCGACTTCAACGACCGATGCCATCATATATGATCTATTTTTATATATATATATATTTTTAGTTCTAAAAAAGGTTAACTTACTGTTTCAAATCTCACATACCGCAGCGCATGTATGTCAGTTGTCGTTCGAGAGATACAGAAGAAAAGAGAATCAGTTGTATCGTTCATCGATCGATTGATTGATTGATTGATTGATTGATTGGCTGACTGATTAATTGGATTGGATTGCATTGCGTTGGAATAATTGTTGAACGAAAATTATTAGAAGAATCTTTTCTTTCTTGGGTCTCGTTTTTCATTTTTTCACTATTTTGATTTCGGTCCCGGATATCTGCATTCCTGATCAGCGCCTTTCCTTGCACAAACCCCCCTTCAATCCCCCCTCCCAATTCCCCCTCCTCTTTCCCTTTTCCCAGGGCCCCCTCTCCCTCCCCCTCTCCGCCCCCCCTCTCCCTGCTCTTTCTCTTCCCCCTTCTTTCTTCTCCCAAGCGTGAAGTGCGAGGGGTCGTGAACAAGGCCCACATTTACAAATTTCACATCCTTTTTTTTTTTTTTTTTTTTTTTTCATCCAAACTCACTTCTGTGCTATTCTTGTTCTGTGGTCTTGAGGGTGTTCGTTTGGAACGGGAACAGAAAAGAGAGCAGTGCAGGTTTTCGACTACCCGTCTTCACCCCAATACCCCCCCCCTCGGTCATTACCGCTGCATCTGGTCTGCAAGTTGCCCAAATACAGTTATAGTGACCGGGTGTTTTATTCGGTGAAGACGGATCTATATTATGAGAGATAGGATGACATTCTCCTCTCTCGCATTGCGGGGGGTCTCTCTCCTACTTCCACCCCTGCAGTAATCCAACCCCCTCAAAAGAGTGTCTCTTGCATTTTTACCCCTGCAGTGAACCACCCCACCTTCGAAGGGTCCCTGTGTTCCACTGTGGGGCCTCCATTTGCATTTCCACCCCTGCAGTAATCCAACGTCTCAAAGGGTCCCCCTCTCCCATTTGCACCGACCCCGGCCAATTATCCAACCCCAGACAGACCCCTCGCTCGCTCATTTGTGAGCCCCCTCTTCCGATTTGCACCAACCCCTTCTGGCATTTCCACTCCTCCTGCGGTGATCCACCCCCTCCCACTCCCTTAAAGGGTCCCTCTCTCCCACTGTGGGGTCGGTCGCCAATTTCCAGCCCTGCAGTAATCCAACCCCTCAAAGGGTCCTCTCTCCAATTTGCACCCTTGCAATTCTTTTCTTGAACCCCATACAGAGTCTCTTGCTCATTTGGCAGATTCCTCCCCCCTTTCCTTATCCCTGCAGTGGTCCCCCCCTTGCAGGGGTTCTCTTACCCCATTGGGGGGTCCTCCTCCTCCTCCTCCTCCTCCTATTTCCACCTCTGCTGTACTTCAACCCCTCGAAAAAGTCTGGCGTCCTTCTCCCACCATCCCATTTCCAGCCCTGCAGTAAACCAACCCCGCAAAGCGGCCCTTTTCCATCGAGGGTTTTTTCGCCCGTTTCCACCCCTGCGGTAATCGACCCCCCCTCAAAGGGTGCCTCTCCCATTTCTACCCCCCCCCCTCCTCCTCCTTCTCTCCTTCAAATATCCGACCCCAGACGCAGCCCCTCGCTCAGTTGGGACGTTCCTCCCTCTCCCATTTCAAAGGGCCGCTCTCCCATTTTGTATTCGCTCTCTCATTTCCACCCCTCAAGTAATCCAATCCTTGGAAAGGTCATTCTCCCATAGTGGGGTCCGTTCTCCCCATTTCCACCCCCTCCCTCGGTAATCGAACCCCTCGGTGCATTAGACACCTGACCCCCGAGAACACCCCTGCGAGAGAACGCGCGTATTTCAAGAATACCCCTCCGAGTGAGTAGGAGCGAGGTACAGGCCCTGTCACTGGTATCTCGGCAGTCTGGGACGGGATCTGGATCCCAATCAGGGACAGGATCTTTTGGGGGCGAGGAGAAGAAAGAGATTTGAACCCTCAACCTCTGGATGAGAAGAAATCGAGCCGTTGACCAGGACGGCGTGGCGTCTGAGGTCTGACTTGGTGAAGCTCAGCGCGTAGGGGAGTGATGCACCGCCGGCAAGAAACCAAGGGGCAAGACGGAGACGATGAGGGAGGAGAGGAAGGGGGAGTGCGCAGAAAGTGGGAGGAAGGGTGATATCGCCCGAAGATAAAAAAAAAAAAAAAAAAAAAGATAGCTCCCAACAAAGATGACGAAGGACAGGGAGGGGCGGAGTAAGCACAAAGTGGTAGAAGGATGACAGCAACCGCGGAGGAAATGGTGCTCTGACA